CTGAATGTTGGTGTTCCTTATATTTCAGATACTTAGTACTTGTATATTATATTCTTCTATTCTCAGTCCACTTGGGTTATAGTCAAAATATCCGGACTGAAGAGATGAGTTTGTGACTATGTGTATGAAACTATTTAACCTGAAATATTTTTCCTTCTTTTTTTCTTTTTTATCACTCAAAGGAGTAAAATGTACATGAACTTGACTGTGTGCTTCTCCCCCCCAATTTTTTTTTTATCATCACTATTATTAAAATTTTTTTTTCTGGTATTTAAGTTTTTATTTAAATTCCAGTTAGGGGTGCCTGGGTGGCTCAGATGGTTAAGCATCTGCCTTCAGCTCGGGTCATGATCCCAGGGTCCTGGGATCGAGCCCCACATTGGGCTCCTGGCTCAGCAGGGAGTCTGCTTCTCCCTCTCCCTCTGCCTCTCCCACTGCTCATGCTCTCTCTCTCTCTGTATCTCTGTGTCTCAAACGAATAAATAAAATCTTTAAAAATAAATAAATAAATAAATTCCAGTTAATTAACATACAGTATAATATTAGTTTCAGGTGTAGAATTTAGTGGTTCTATTATTAAATTTAGTATTAGTAGGGTTCTTAATATTCTTTTCTTCTCCTCTTCCATACTCTCCTTTTCTTCTAGTTCTGGTATAGTGTTTTTGTGGTTCTGATTGAAGCAACACTTAAGTAGTTACGATGTGCCGGGCATTGTGCTGGATGCTTTAAGAAGTATCTCATCTGATCTTTTCATCAGTTCTGTTCAAAGCTTTCATTGTTCAATTTGAGCGCGTAAAGTTGCTGTGCCAGAGTACCTTGAAAATATACCATCATCAAAGAAAAGTCCTATGTTGAGACAATGTTATCAACCCGCAAATCTTTTTGAAAGGACCCAGAAAGAGTTTTCCTTGGTTGTGCAAAATTTCCTTGTTTTCCTCCTTTTGTGGTGGTGGGGGGGGGGGCAGAGGGGAGTGTTTGAAGGAGACAGATAAGTAAAAGTGATTAACTACTTAGTTTTTCAGGATTGTTTATTAGTTTATTTTTCTAAGCTTTTCAAACAGAATGTCTTAGTAAATCGAGTGCTTTCTGGGCTGAAGTAGAAATATAACTGAGTTTAATACAATAATTTTGTAAAGCAGTGCTTATTTTTCTGAAATTGAAATTTCCTATTTTTTTTTTTTTTTTTTATAAGTGTGTGGTGGGTGAAAAGATGCAGACGTAGGATATTACTTTAAAAACCAAACAATTCAGGACGCATGGATGGCTCAGTCAGTTAAGCATCTGCTTCGGCTCAGGTCATGATCCCAGGGTTCTGGGATCGAGTCCCACATCAGGCTCCTTGCTCAGCAGGGAGCCTGCTTTTCCTTCTGCCTGCCGCTCCCTCTGCTGTGCTCTCTCTCTCTCTCCGACAAATAAATAAATTAAATAATAATAATAAAAAAATAAAAACCAAACAATTCAATTAAAAAATGGGCAAAGGACTTGAATAGACATTTTTCTGAAAAAGACATATGCATAGCCAACAGGTATGTGAAAAGATGCTTGATATCACTAATCATCAGGGAAATGCAAATCAAAACCACAGTGAGATATCACCTCACACCTCTCAGAACAGGCATTATCAAAAAGACAACAGACAAGTATTAGCTAGACTGTGGAAAAAGGAGAACCCTTGTATAATGCTGGTGTGAATGTAAATTCGTATAGTCATTATGGAAAACAGTATGGAAGTTCCTCAAAACACACAAAAATAGAACTATCACATGATCCAGCAGTCCTACTTCTGGGTATATATCCAAAGGAAATGAAATCATTACCTCAGAAGAGCTATCTGCACCCCATGTTCATTGAACTATTATTTACATTAGACAAGACATGGAAACAACTTAAGTCTCCACCTGACAGATGAATGGATAAAGAAAGCATGTATATATACATTTTATATATATATATGAATATTATTCAGCCATAAAAAAGAAGGAAATCCTGTTGTTTGAGACAACATGGATAAAACTTGTGGGCATTATACTGAGATAAGTAAGCTAGAGAAAGACAAATACTGTATGTTTTCAGTTCTATGCGGAATCTAAAAAAGCCGAACTCACGGAAATATAGAGTAGAATGGTGGCTGCCAGTGGCTGGGGGAGATGGAGGGATGTTGGTCAAAGGATACAAACTTCCAGCTGTAAGATGAATAAGTTCTGGGGGCCTAATGTACAGCATGATAATTATAACAGTACTGTATTATATACTTGAAAGTTTAAATCATAAATGTAATCACCACGAAAAAATGGTTATCTTATGAGGGGATGAAGGTGTTATTATTTAGCCTTAATGTGGTAATCATTTCACAATATATACGTGTATCAAATCATCATGTTGTATACCTTAAACTTACATATGTTATAGGTCAATAATATGTCAATAAAACTGGGAAAAAAAGGATATTACAGTTGACCTTTGAGCAGTGTGGGGGATAGGGATGCCGCCCTGCTTCCCGTGTAGTCAACAATCTACAAAACTTAAAATCTCCCAGAACTTAACTCTTAATAGCATACTGTTGACCAGAAGTCTTACCCGTAACATAAACAGTTGATTAACACATATTTTGTTTGCCATATGTATACATAAGCTAAAGAAAATGCTGTTCAAGGGCCAACTGTATATGCTGAATTACCAAAGGTTGTTGTAACCAGGGTTCTTCACTTCATCTAATTATTACCATTATTAAATTTCTAAGTGTTCTACAAAATTAAAATGTTATTAGTATTCTGTCATCACTTAAGCATTAACTTAAGTACTACGCCTTTACAATCTATTATTAAAATAAAGATGTTGCCAACTTTTTGAAAAAAAGTCCATGTACTTGCATATGTTATAATACACTCTAAAATCTATTCATTTCTATACTAAAAAACTTTTCATTCAATTTTATTTTTGTTCCCAGGTTTTGCAAATCGTTTTTCAAAACCCAAAGGACCAAGGAAACCACCACCAACTTGGAAAATTTAACACAACTTTGGAATATAGGCTGCAAGTGCATCTGCAAATAAGAATACTAGAATACTATTAGCTAAAATAAGGTTTCCATGTTCATAATTTCAACAATGAAGACACTGTAATGTGTTAACAGCAATATTAGAAAAGAATATTCAAATAAGTGCCAGAAATTTTACGTTTTCATCTCATTTATATTGGGCTGGAAACTGGAAATAAGTTTGTCACTTGAGCTTATGTAGAGAACAGTGTATGAGAAACAGTTTTAGAATGGACTTATTTTTCATTCTGGAAGTTATTTTTATTCTTCTTTTCTACATAAATATAAACTTCAAAATATTTTTAAGAACTGGATCTCAACTGAATGTTACATTGCCAGGATTTACTATAGAAAGTGTTTCACAAAATCTGACTTGTGCTTGTGACAATGACTATTCCCTGGGAATTATTTTTGCCTAAATGTAATATACCTTGCACATCTTCCCAAAGGTGGAAAAACTAGAGTAGTAAGAAAAGGAGAAGTTATATTTAAGAGAATGAAATATGTAAATAAAGAGAATCATTTCTGTATTTGGATATATCCACTAACAAGATGTTCAACTACATTTCTGGTAAGTTTTAACCAAAGTTACTCAGTTACCAAGTCAAGAAGAATAATCAGCAAAATAGCTATCTTTTGGTAGCATTTTTCATTTCAAAGGTCCTACATAAATATGTGCAACTTATATCCAACCAATCAGAGGTTTAAAAAATTTCCTATATGAATATGGATCTGCCTTATTTTTAGAAAATCTGAGTTTTCAAATCTGATTTTATGTAACATGTAAGTTAGTGGGTAATTATTGTTACAGAGGATTCCCGAGTTCTAATGATTTAAGTTTTTTTTAAAACTTAGAAGTTTATTTTTAACTTTTAGAAACATGAACTACTTAAACAGCATGTTTCATTACGAAGCCTAATGATAGGGCAAACTGGATGACATGTTAACCGGTTTATTGTAGTACAACGTACACAATAGGTGCCGAATAAACTTTGTTTTTAAAAAAACTAACTTTACCGTAGTGTTCATTTAGCTGAATACTTCTCCAGGCACTAGTGGCATTTCTGAGTACTTCATTGTAACCAATTATTCCCAAAGATCTTTATCAAGGGCCAAATATATGAACAGAATCTTAGGTAAAATCTACGATCTTGACGATGGAATTGTGAATGAATTTCCGGGCAGCAACCTTGGGGAACAGTGACGATTTTTGGAATGTTCTGTGGTAGACACGCCTCTCAAATTTATGCAACCTTATACTTGCGACTTGAAAAAAAATCTTATTTAAAAAAGTTTAAAAACATGGTTTTCCGTCTAGAATTTTTTCGTCACTGTGGGGATGGATTCCAAATAAATGGCCCTCTACCTTTCCAGGCTTGAGAGGGGATGTGGCTGGAAGGCGAGGTGGGGCGGCGCGCACCAGGCTCCCAGGCAGGTCTTGCACCTGCCTTGTCACGCCTGTAGCTGTAACCATAGCAGTGCCCACGAAGAGGTTAAAAAATGTCTTCACTGCGGCCCCGCTCGATCATAAACCCAAATCGCCCTCATTTTACATATGATCAAGTTCCCCTTTCCTCTTCATTTCATCGCTTGTCCAAAGATAAGAGGCCGCAGATTCTTTTACCTCACAAAGGTTATGAGAGGACTATGAAACTTAAAAGTACCTATGGAGACCACCTACTCCGTGTAAAATGACGAAGGGGCACACGAACACGATAATAGAAACGCGCCGACAGACTCTGAAAGCCACCAACATTGTTCCGGCCGTTAAGGCGGTTGGCGGCAACTCTCCGCCCAGCGGCGGTTGCGTCGCAGCCCGAAGCGTGACTCGGCGCACGCTCTCTTTCCGCTCCTCCACTCCCAGAGCCAGGGAGGCGGCGGGGGCGCGGGGGAACTACCGCTCCCAGGAGGCTCTGCGCCGCCCAGGGTGCTTTACAATAGGCCTCGCTCGGAGAGGTCTGCGGAGAAGCGCTGGGAACGGCCGCTTCCGGCATGTTCAGCTCCGGAGGAACAACCGCCGCGAAGTGGAGGGCGGGGGAGAGACTCCAATGCCCAGCGGGCCGTGCGCGGGCGGCGCTTGCGCGATACGCGGACGGGGGGGCGGTCGGGCCATTTAAATGTGTGTTTGTGGGTGAAATGGCTGCGCAGGTCGGAGCGGTGCGCGTAGTACGGGCGGTGGCGGCGCAGGAGGAGCCGGACAAAGAAGGGAAGGAGAAACCCCATGCTGGGGTCTCGCCTCGGGGAGTGAAGCGGCAGCGCCGAGCGAGCAGTGGGGGGTCTCAGGAGAAGCGGGGGCGGCCGAGCCAGGACCCCCCTCTCGCTCCCCCTCACCGGCGGCGTCGCAGCCGCCAACATCCCGGGCCGCTGCCGCCAACGAATGCAGCCCCAACCGTCCCAGGCCCTGTTGAGCCTCTGCTCCTGCCGCCTCCGCCGCCACCTTCGCTGGCACCCGCCGGGCCCGCTGTCGCTGCCCCGCTCCCGGCCCCAGGCACCTCGGCCCTCTTCACCTTCTCTCCCCTGACGGTGAGCGCGGCCGGGCCCAAGCATAAGGGCCACAAGGAGCGGCACAAGCACCATCACCACCGCGGCTCCGATGGTGACCCCAGCTCCTGCGTTCCGGGCGATCTCAAGCACAAGGACAAGCAGGAAAACGGCGAGAGGACTGGAGGGGTGCCTCTGATCAAGGCCCCCAAGAGAGGTGAGAGCAGGCGAACTGCCCCGAGCTTGGGCTCTAGGTCCCTCTCAGTTCTGATATCCCGCCCCTTTAGCCCTGAAAGACGCCAAACCCTTACTTACCTCCTGCTGCTCTACTCCCTTAAGCCCACTGGGGTGGACTCTGGATTTCAAACCGTTGACACAGCCTGACCTACTTGAGGCTTCTCGTTTCGAGGCCGAGCTGTCAGTTACTAACCCCCTTACCAGGCTCCCCCCTCCCCGCCCCCGCCCTTCACCCCGAGCCTTTACCAACGTTTGTTTTCAAATTCGCCAGGGTTTCCGCGCCGCGCGGTCCTCGGCGTGGGATTAGTAGCTGGGGTATTAAAAAAACTGCTTTTCTGAAGTAAAGACTTGTCGCTTAAATCCTTTCTTCTTGTTGTCTTTGGTGGAAATCTTTAATATTCACTCTCCTAGGCTCCAAAATATTCACGGGTATGGTGTGGGGCTTTAATGAGTTTGAATTCTTACAGAGGTTACTCGACTCACAGGTTGCTTTAGCTTTTGCAAGGTGAAATAGCAGACGTAGTTTGTAGTGGTTCTTTTTTATCCGGAGGGGAAATCTTTTTTAATTTTTATATTAAATCTTAATTCTGGGAAGAGGGTTGGGAAGGTTTTCTCTCCCTTTTGATCCTAGGAAGTAGGACTAACCGTGCCTGTGAAAAGTGGGAAATGTGCAGTAGTGAATAGTTAGAAGCAAGAAGTCCGGTTACAGTTTATTCTTTCTGGCACACACAAAAAAATTGAGAATTTATTTAATTCCAATAACCCTCACTAAAGTCAAGAATATTGAACCCAGAAAATATAGGACTACCCAATTAAATGTGGGATCTAGAGAAATTAGGTTTACCAAAATTGGTATCTTCCTGTTCCCAAGTACATGTAGCATTTATTTGTATTCTCTGGGGGGGCGGGGGGGGTAGGAATTTTGATTATACCATGGATTTTTATATGATTTTATATAATTTGTTAGTTGTATTTCCTCAAGAAGATTTTAAGATACAAGTATCTTAATATTTCTTAGTATTGGGCCAGCTGGGTTATTACATGTTTATGAACAAAGTCTTTCAATCTAAAGTTTTGTGTGTTTTGGATTCCTTCCATATACTTGGTCTTGACTTAAGTCAGTTTTTTTGTGGTGCCACATCCAAATAGTGCAGTTTGTTGCAAATAATTACTCAATAAATATTTATTGAATTGAATGAAATCTTTCTTCCTTTGGTGGTATCCAGATGTTATTTTGAAGAATAAAACTTGTGCCAATCTGACAGGACTGCCAGTTTCCACCACCAGAATGCAGTGATCTTGCTGTCTTTTATTTCTCATCTTCTCTTTTCTTGTGTGTGTTGTGTGTTTTAACCATACAGAGGTAGTGGGAATCTTAGAGATCAACCAATTCAAATTTATATTGTGGAAGAGGAAACCCAGGCCCAAAGTAGTGAAGAGACTTGCCTAATTAAGTCCCAGTTAATTAGTACCAAGTACAAACACTAAAAAAATTATTTTAATGAATAATTGGTGTAATAGGGAGTAGAACCCAGATCTTGAATCCCAGTTCAAGCATCCTCCCCCAGCGGCTTGTTGTTCCTTTCTTTTTTTTTATGGTATTTCCTTTTTCCCCTTCTTTGCTTACCCCTTCCCCATGCCTTGGCATTAGAATGGCAGTAGCCAGCTCCATCAAAAATCTCTGACCTAGCCCCTTTTTAGGGTGGGATAGTGGCAATTACACGTATAATACAGTGTGCTTCTCTGAGGATTGCACAGGCCCCTGTTCTTTAAAAAACAAACAAAAACAAACCTTTAACTCAGTGCTGTCTGACAGAACTTTCTCCAGTGATGGAAATGTTCTATATCTGTGCTGTCCAATATGGTAGCATTAGTCATATATGGCCCTTGAAATAAGTCTTGAAGACTTAAATGTGGCTGGTATAGTTGAGGAACTGAATTTTTAATTTTATTTAATTCATAATAGTTTCTTTTGGCTAGTGGCTACCATATTGGACAGCACAGCTTGAAGCATTTGTAGTTTGCCAATATGTGAAGAAGTGGGGTAATTTCAACATCTTACCTTTTTTGTTGTTGTTAATTGAAATACAGTAGACATACAATGTTATATTAGTTTCAGATATACAACATGATGATTCGATATTTGTATGTATTGTAGAAGGATCACCATAATTACTTTAGTTTAAACATTTTAACTTTTGAGTGAGGGACTGTTGGATTATGTATTCTGCAGGAAAAGGGCTCCCTGGCCTTATACATGGGGGGAAAAAGCCTTCTAGATATGTGACATATACTGGCATTTTAAAAGTTCTGAGAACCCTACAGAAAACAAGCTGGCTTAACTTTGTTTAATCCAGGCTTTTGCACACATTTTGGTGGATATCTTTACTTTTTTCGCTGAACATCTTTATGCTTGTTACAGTGGTGTGCAGGAGGTATGCCTCTGGAGTCAACCTAAGTTTAACTTGTGGCTCTACTACTTACTGTTTGATCATGGGCAAATTACTTTAACCTCTTTCAGCTTCACTTTTCCTGTCTGTACAATGGGGTTCTAGTATCTGTTTTACAAGGTTATTATGTGGATTAAATGGGGCAATATGTGGAAAGTACTTAAAACAGTGGCTGATATTAGGCACTTTTAAAACGACCTTTTGTTATTTTATCAAGCTTTGTCCTTGAAACAACTTAAGATTAATAAGGAGAGTGGCTAGTTATGTCTTCCCTCCCTTTTCCTTAAGATTTTCAGAAACTATTTTAACTTTTGATTTTGAGATAATTATATATTCACAGGAAATTGCAAAAATAGTGCAGAGAACTTTTTACCCTTCATTAGTTTTTCCCAGTGGTTATATCTTACATAATTATTATATGATATTCACATCAGGAAATTGACATTGGTACAATGGTGTGTGTATAATTCTGTGCCATTTTATCACCTGTAGGTTAGTTTAACCACCACTGCAATGAAGATGCACAACTATTCCATCACCACAAAGATCCCCCTTTTGCTAATCCCTTGAAAGTCTTAGGTACCAACTCTGTCTCCCCACCTTCCCTAACCTCTAACAACCACCAATCTGTTCTATAACTCTATATCATTTTGAGAATGTTGTAAATGGAATAATACAATATGTGATCTTTTGAGGCTTTTTTCATTCAGCATGATGTCCTTGAGATCCATTCAAGTTTTATCAATAGCTCACTCCTTTTCATTGCTGAGTAGTATTCTACGGTATAGATATACCACAGTTTAACCATTCACCTGAATGTTTCGGCTGTTTCCAGTTTGGCTATTAGAATAAAGCTTCTATGAACATTCATGTTCAGGTCTTTGTGTGGATGTAAATTTTCATTTATTTCTCTGGGAATGCAATTGGTGGGTCATAAAGATGTATGTTTATTGTTTTTTGTTTTTTTTTTAAGTTATTACCAAACTATTTTCTAAAATGTCTGTGCAATTTTACATTCCCACCAGCAGTGTATGAGATTTCCACTTTCTCCACATGCTTGCCAGTATCTGGTATTGTTACTATTTTTATTTTATCTGTCCTAATAGATGTGTAATAAGTATTATCTCATCATGGACTTAAGTTGCATTTCCCTAGTGGCTAGTGATATTTAACATCTTTTTTTGGTCATCATTTGCTGGCCATATATCTTCATCAGTAAAATGTCTCTTTATGTCTTTTGCCCATTTTCTAATTGAATTGTTTGCTTTTTTTTTTTTTTTTTACTATTGACTTTTCAGAATTCTTTGTATATTACAGGTATGGGTCCTTTGTCAGATATATTGTTTGCAGATATTTCCTCCCACTTTTGTTGATTGTGTTTCCCTCTTTTCAAGACGGTCTTTCACAGAGCAAAAGTTGTAAATTTTGTTGAGGTCTAATTATTTTTTTCTTCTATGGATCATGCTTTTGGCGTCAAATCTAAGGTCTCAAGGCTTAGTTCCCAAAGATTTTCATTTATTTTTTTTCCTAAAAAGTATTATAATGGTAACTTTTACGATTTATTTGAATTATTTGTGTAAGGTGTGAGGTGTTTAGGTTGAGGGTCATGTTTCCAGTTGTTCCAGTATCTTTACTGAAGACTTTTCTTCCTCCATTGGATTACTTCTACATATTTGTAAAATATCAGTTCCACTGCCTGTTTTTGTATGACTTGTCAAATAAGGATGGTTTTTACATTTTAAATGGTTGAAGAAAACCTCATGACATGTGAAAATCATAAGAAATTTAAATTCGTTGTCCAGAAATAAATTGGAACATCACTTCACTCATTCAAATATATTGTCTGTGGTAGTTTTCACACTAAAACAGTAGAGTAGCTGAGATAGACTACGTGGGCTGCTAAAGCTTACTACTATCTGGCTCTTTATAGAAAAAGTTTGCCAATCTCTGCGATAGATCATTGTGCTGAAAGACATGTTCCTTCATACCAGCCCAGCTGTACTCAATCCAACTTCATGTATAAGTTAATCATAAATTTCAGATTCCAGATGTTTGGAGTTGCTCATATATAGTTGAAACAACAATTTCTCATCTCTAAAATGGGAATTAAAGTGAGTTTTGAAGAGGTGAAGTGACATGCTTAAGATTTTCTAGTTAGTAAGTGATAGAACTGAATCTAGGACCAAGTTTTTTTTGACTTGTGTGTGTGGTCCACTTTGCTTTTCATTTTTCACTAAGCATATTTGGATTGTTAACTAAAGAGATATTAAAACATTTTTTATTTCTTATAAGTAACAGGCTTGAGTCTTAAACTGATAGTTATCTGTGTATTTTTTTTTTTTTTTTTAGATTTTATTTTATTTATTTATTTTGAGAGAGAGAATGAGAGACAGAGAGCATGAGAGGGAGGAGGGTCAGAGGGAAAAGCAGACTCCTTGCCGAGCAGGGAGCCCGATGCGGGACTCGATCCCGGGACTCCAGGATCATGACCTGAGCCGAAGGCAGTCGCTTAACCAACTGAGCCACCCAG